ATAGAGACAGAAACAAGATTAGTGGTTGCTGGGGTGGGAGAGAGGGCAGAGTGGGGAGAGACTGCTAATGGGTATTGGGTATTTTTTGTGGTGATGGCTGCACAACTTTGTGAATATGCCAAAAATCAGTGAATTGTGCACTTTAAACAGGTGAATTTCATGGTATATAAATCTCAATAAAAGTAATTTTTTAAGTGACCCTAAGATAGGAAACAGAAAAGAGAGGACAAGAGCAGGGGTTGGCAAACTAGGGCCCCTGGGCCAAATCTGGCCTACCATCTGTTTTTGTAAATAAAGTTTTATTAGAACACGGCCACTCCATTCATTTACATGTCACCTATGGCTGCTGTGGAGTGACAACAGCAGAGTTGAAGAGCTGCCACAGACTGCATGGCTGGCAAAGCCTAAAATATTTACTGTCTGGACTTTCACTGTGTAAGTCTGCCAACCCCTGGCAAGGAGAGTGAACTGTGGGGCCAGGCTAGAGCTCAGATTCTGGCTCTGTGACATATTAACTACATGTCTTTTCCATGTATGTGCATGCATGAGTGTGTAAATGCATCACTCTGTGTCCTAGTTGTCCCATCTCCTGAACATGAAGTGAGTTTGCACAAGGAGAGTGCTCAGGATGCCCAGCAACAGTGTGGACTCCAACTTTGATCTTCTGATTCCCATGAGCAGCTAGTGATCACCCAAGTCTTGCAGATGAGCTCCTATCACCTCACCACACCAACCCTCTGCGACAAAGGGCAAATCCCACGTTGATGCATAGGACCCTTCACACCCTGCACCCCACCCCCTCTCCACACTTTGGCCTCCTCAAGGATAAGACGGCCTTCCCTGCCTGACAAGCTCCACACTCATGACTCAGTTCCAACACCACGTCTTCTGAGACGTGTGTCCTGACCTCTGTCCTCCACACCCACCTCAACCTTCCCAGGAGTAAGGGAAATTTGGGGGTTAAGTGTCCCTGCCAACTGCAGGGTCTCTGCACAACTACACACTCTGATAAACAGCATCTACTTACATGTGTGTAACCGTTTATTCACAGGCTACAATTCTGGAGGCAGAGGCCAGCCCTTCTCCCCTACAGCACTCCTGGTATCCGGGCGGTGCCAGTTTGTAGAAAGTGCCCAGTAAAGTGCCAATGTTTACTGAGTACATGCACTGCTAGGCACGTTACATGCTTCTCACCAGCTCCTTCAGCTCCTGGGTAGCATCGCTGCTGCAGTTGCATAGATCAGAGGACAGCATCAGCAAAGTCAAGGAGCTTATATGACAAATGAATAAACAGAGGGAGGAGGAGTCCGGTAGGAGCTCTAGAACAGTGGTTTTGTCCCCCAGGGGACAATTGGCCATGACTGGGGACAATTTTGATTAGGCAACTTGGGGGGTGCTACTGGCACCTAGTGGTGGAGGTCAGGGATGCTGCTAAGCATCCTATGCCCAGGACAGCCCCCACCACAAAGATTGGTCTATGTCAGCCAGTACAATCGAGGCTAAGAAACCCTGATCTAGAACATTTTTTTAAAGGGTGAGGGAGGGGGGGCAGGCAGAACTAGAGTAGTTAGAAAAGTTTTCAAAGACCAGGTGGGACTTCGTTTAGACTTGAAGTTTGGGAAGATCATCTGAAAGATGTCTTTTGCCTGACTTTTACCTTCCTTAACGAGAAACTTAACACACAAAGTTTCCCTTACTCCATTTACCAAGAGGCCAGGCTGCAGCCAGGACGGCCTGCCTACCACCGGAAGAGACCACCTGCAAGAACTCCGGCACACACATGCCGACATTTGACGCTGGTGAAGTGAAGTGGGGAAGGGCAGTGCGAGGAGCTGGTGGCACAGAGGCGCCCGCACACATGCTCTGAGGTCTGGAGGAGGAAGCCAAAGCCAGCCCTGGAAGCCCAAACAGGGAGAATGTCTCCTGCCATTCACAGCGTGGTCACCAGCCAGCCCTCCCAGCTTCTCATCACTGCCCAGAATGCTGGCTTCTCTATGACAGCTTCATCGAGGACCACCACTATACACAGGCAGAGTCTGCCTCCAGGGCCTGCTGAAGCTGAGCACCACAGTCCCCACTGCAGGGGTCCCCCGAGCACGAGGATCAGCCATGTCCCAATGCCACCAAGGGCATGGGGACTGCTTCAGATGTGGCTTCTACCTCTTCAACATCTCCCCCAGCACCAACCTCACCTTCCTGACAGGAGCAGCCCTCTGTGGGGAACAGCAGGGCTGGATACAAGAGGAGAGTAACGGGCCCTGGTCCTGGTGGGGGCAACAATCAGGCTGCGGCTGCAGAGGACGCACAGGCAGGGACATGTCCTTACCTTCAGAGTCCAGAGCCTGGATCTTCAGCTCCAGGGGTGAATCTTCCAGGTAGAGTTCACGCGTGGTGGAGACGATCTGAATGCCATGAATGAGGTCAACGATGGCGTCACAGCGCAGGACCTGGCCCGTGGCTGCAGGGACAGGGAGAGGTCAGCCCTGAGGACAGTGCCCCGAGCACAACTCATGCCTCCGGGCCTCACAGGCCATGGCATCTTACACTCTGGCAAAGGCTTCAGCAACCAACAAAATTTACCCTCAGAAGCCAAGCAACTTCCCAGCACAGGGCCCTTCTGAGTGTTAACAGGGACTTTCAGAAAGTATGGGCTTTGGAGTATTGTCATTGCCCATCTCGGGCTTTTCCAGGTTAAGCACCAGCATATAAAGCTGTGTAGAAAAAAATTCCTCTAGGAAAATGTAGTTTGGTCCAGGGTGTAACCTTTAAGTGAAATGACAAGAGCTACAGCATGAGCCAACACCCACAGGAAGATTCTGTCCTGAAGCCCTGTCCTACACTGAGATTAGGAATTTCACTGGTGTTCTCTGTTTATTTATACTGTGCTATAGAAGGGCGTGTAGACACATGCACAGATTTTTTTTACTTGCTCCATAAACAAGATATGTAAATGGCATTTACCCAGGAAATTCTCAAGTGGAAGGATAACAGAATGTGATACAAAATTATTCCAAACACTCTCCAGGCACCACATAAAAATGCTTGTGCAGTGCTAAAGTTCTGTTGCAAAGCAATACGGCCCCATGTATCAAAAGCCTTAAAAATATTCACATGCTAAGACCTAGCAAAATTGGGAATCTATCCTAGGAAGGAAATAACCTAAAAGAACCTTAAATTTCTCTGTACATAAAATATTAATTTTTATGTATAACATCGAAACAAACATCTGAAAACACTCCACGTGCCGATATAGGGGAATGCTTACAGATCCACCTCCTGTTAGTAATATTATTGGGCATGAAAAATTATTCTGCCATAAAATGAAAAACTTCATATCATGGTAGGTGAGGAAAAAGCACGATAGAAAATTATTTTGCTTTCTAAGTATTTTACAATTATAATATGGTAATTAGATAGAAAGAAGGGAAAGGAGTGATCTCTTAGATTGGGACAGCTTTCTACATTTTGACTTGATACCCATTGAGAGGTATCTGGGTTACCAACAATAACTCTGGAATTGAGAAAGCCAGCTTCCACAGAGGGAGAACGGTACGAAGCACTGGCATGAGGGGCCGGGATGGGTGTTGCATGGGCTTTGGCAGCCTCCGGGGCTGGAGGTCTGAACAGAGTGTTTCCCCCCTCTGGCCCCTCGAAGCCCTTACTGATGTCCTCTGCAAAGATGATGCTGGTCAGGCGGGCGGGCTGGGTAAGCCGGGCCTGCACCACTGCCCTCTGGGAGCACTGGTGCTCATCGCGGTCCAGCGGCTCTATGCTGGCCACCTCAGGCCGGGTCGATGACCTATGGAGAGAAGACAAGAGTTTACTCTCTGGACCTGCACTGCTTGGTCAGGCCAGAAGCAGGGCTGTGGTTCTCATTCTGGGCTCTCACACCAGCTTCCAACCCAGAGGAGAAATGGGGCCCAGCCCAGGCCGCTCGAAGGAGACCTCAACAACCTGAGGGCATGGACCACGCTCCCCACTGAGCAATCAAACAGGAGACTGACACCTGGAAACAACCTGGTGTTTAACAGATGGCCTCTGTCCAAGACTGCCCCAAGACTGCCCTGCACGAGAAGTCATTCCGCATCAGTCAGAACACTGCTCAGGGTGTCCAGTGAGGCAGCTCAGGTGTGCGGAGGGAATGCCACTGTCTCAGTTAACCTCCAGCCCAGGTTGGACACACAGCAGGTTCCAGGATGCTAGCTTCCATCCCCAGAGAGGTTCTACAAACCCTGCAGGTCACTAACTGCAATGATAACGACAGTCTCAGAGTCCTGCACACACTGAGCTGACAGTACAGCCAAGGTGGGGAGAAAGGCAGGTAAACACATCAACACATGAAGCAGGACAAGTCTAGGAGAGACGTCCCAGGAGGACAAAGCAACAGTGTGTCAGGAGAGCTACCAGTGTTAGTGCCTCGGTTTCTCATCCATGACACAGGATAACAGCAGCACCCAGGTCCAGAGAGTCGGGGAGGCACAGAAGACCCCGCGCCAAGTGCTAAGCCAGATGTGCCCTGGCCGCCGTCTGCAGACGGCTACTGGGGGCCTTTCTGGGGGGTGGCCTCGAGCCAGTGCCATGTGGAGATCTGTTGGTGAGGCAGGGAGGAGCTGGTGCAAAGGCCTGGGCTGGGAAACAGTAATGTGCCATCCTCGGGGAGCTCATGGGCAATCAAGGACACAGGGGAAGGCCCTGGGCAGAGCGTGCTCATCTCTCAGGGCTGCAGCAGCCAACAGAGGCATGGCACTCTGGACTTTCTCCGTCCTTCCCCCACCTTTGCTTAACCTCCCTGGAACATCTACATTCTGGGGCATTCAGAAGGAAACCTGTAAAAACCACCTGGCATTAAAAAGCAATGGTGGGGAACACCCCCAAACAGATATCTCATATCTTCTGGCTGGGTGCCGAGCGTCTCCCAGAGCCAGGTCGGCACAGGCGGCATCGCCAAACACACCTCAGCCCGCTAATCACACAAACGCCACCAGGCACCCGCTGAGCTGCAGCAGGAGGCCCACAGAGGAACCAACCACCTCCACTGAAAATACCACAGACCTCACCCTCCAGCTAAGGAGGGCCCCGAGGAAATGCGTTAGTGTCCCCTCACTGATTTCTTCTGAGAAAACAGCATTTCAGAGACGAAGAGAAGAGAGCAAAGTAGAGGTGGACACGTGTGGACACAGTAGTGTCCCTGCGGCGGCACGTCCCACACCAAGCTAGCAGCACACTTCCTTCAACCCGACCAGGTCTGGAGCCCTGAGGTGTCTGTCAAAGGGCGTTGAGCTTCACACACACACAGTGGACTGTGGAAACAAGAGAACAAATCAGAAAACTCACACGAATCAGCGGAGACTGAGGAGACATGACACACAAGGCAGTGTGGGATCCTGGACTGGACTCGGAAACAGAAAAAGGACTGTAGTAGAAAAACCGGTGAAACTCAAATAGTCTAGAATTTAGTTAAAAGTTACGTACCAATGTTAATTTCTTACTTTGACAAATGTATCTGGTTTTGTAAGATGCTGACATNGACTGAGGAGAGATGCCACACAAGGCAGTGCGGGATCCTGGCCTGGACTCGGAAACAGAAAAAGGACTGTAGTAGAAAAACCGGTGAAACTCAAATAGTCTAGAATTTAGTTAAAAGTTACGTACCAATGTTAATTTCTTACTTTGACAAATGTATCTGGTTTTGTAAGATGCTGACATTAGAGAAAGCTGCATGAAGGTATACAGAAACTCTTTATCTTTGTGACTTTCCTATATATCCAAATGATTTCAAAATTTAAATTTAAAAAAGGAAGATGGTGTGAAGGAGGGATGAATAGGCAGAGCACAGAGGATTTTTACGGCAGTAAAACCATTCTGTATGATACTATTATGGTAGATAAATGTCATTATAAATTTGTCCAGACCCACAGAACGTACAACACCAAGAGTGAACCCTAATGCAAACTATAGACATTGGGTGACAATGATGTGTTAATATAACTTGAACAAACGCACCTTTCTCACTAAGGGGGTGGCACCAATCTCACTGATAGTGGGGAGGACCACGTGTGTGCGGCGGCAGGGGACATATGGGCAATCTTTGTACTTTCCACTCAATTTTGCTGTGAACCTAAAACTGCTCTTAAAAAAAAAAAAAGTGTATGAAGAAAAGGAATTCATCATTTCCCGCTCCCACCTTTTAGAAACAGTGTGGTGTATCTAATTCAATGGCCCCTGGGAGCCAGCGATCTGGCCTCCTAGTCTGGGCTGTAAATCCCACCCCCTTCTCCAAGCATCAGTCTCAAGAATAAGAAGGGGACAACCACCCCTTTTCCTACTCCCTCACAGCAGAATGAACCTCAGACAGAGTCCCAATGAATACAGATAAGAGCAGAGCTATGCTAGCCCAAGTTGGAGAGACCTGAAATTCTCCCTGCATGCCCCCGGCACTGCAGGGCGCCCCTGAGACACCAGCAGTCCTCAGAGCCTGGTGCAAACACCACTCCTTCCTTTCCCATGTCGTGGGGTGATGTTAAGGACAGCTATAGGCCTGAGACAGCACTGCACCATAGAAATAAGGTACAGGTCACATTTCCATTTTCTAATTGCTGTATTTAAAAGAAACAGGTGAAATTCAATTTTTAGTAGACTGTTTTTCAAAGCCGTTTTAGGTGAAGAGCAAAATTGAACAGAAAGCAGAGAGCTCCCACATACTCCCATCTCCCCCATGCACATCCTCCCCCACTATCAGCATCCCCCATCAGAGTGGTCCATTTGTTACAATGAATGAACCTACGCTGACATCACAATCACTCAAAGCCCACAGTTTACATGAGGGCTCACACCTGCTGTTGTAAGTGCCATGGTTTGGACAGATGTGTAATGATACTTATCCTCCATTAGAGTATCATACAGAATAGTATCACTGCTCTAAAGTCCTCTGTGCTCTGCCTAATCATCCCTATGTTTCAAAATCTCTATTAAAGAGCCATATTTTTTAAAAGTAACAGGTTATTTTAATAATACATGCAATTTAACACATCGCAAACATTGTGATTCTGACAGATGGTACCAGCCACATTTTAAATGCTCACAGTCACATGTTTTAGTCTATATGGGGTGCTGTAACAAAATACAGTCCTTCCTTGGTGTCTTTGGAGTATTGGTTCCAGGATCTCCCTGAGATACCAAAATCCACGATGCTCAAGTCCCTGATTTAAAAAATGGTGTAGTACTTGCGTATAACCTATGCACATCCTCCCATATACTTTAAATCATCTCCGCGTTTCTTATAATACATAGTACAACGTAAATGCTACGTAAATAGCTCTTATACTGTACTGTTTAGGGAATAATGACAAAAAAAAGTCTATGAGTTCAATACAGATGCAAATTTTTTTTGTTCAAATTATTTTCAATCCATGGTTGGTTGAATCTATGGATATAGAACCCACAGATACAGAACCCATGGATACAGAGGGCTGACTTTACCATAAACCGGGTGACTTATAAACAACAGAAACTGATTGCTCACAGTTCTGGACACCAGGAAGTGCAAGATCACGGTGCTAGCAGAGTTGGTGTCTGGTGAGGTCCTGCTTCCTTGTTCATAGGTGGCACCTTCTCACTGTCCTCCCATGGTGGAAAGGGTGAGGCAGCTCCTGGGGCCTCTTCTATAAGGCACTAGCCCCAAACATGAGGCTCACCTTTGTGACCTAGTCACCTCCTGAAGCCTCCACCTCCTAAATCCATCACCTTGGGGGTGAGGATTTCAACATTTGAATGTAGAGGGGGACACAGATATTCAGACCATAGTTTGTGATGAGTAGCCCAGTCCCAACCCAGTTCCAAGGCCCAGAGGAGGAGCTGGCAGGCAAAGGCAAACTTAGTGCTCTTCATTCCTGGGGATCTTCGTGGACACCTAACTCTGCCAAGGGCTCTGCTTGGGAGGTGGCAGGTGCCGAGTCCTCTTATCACCTTCCCAACTCATAGAAGTAGAAAGTGGAATAGTGGTCACCAGAGGCTGGGACAGAGAGAAGAGAGGGGAGGGTGGGGACAGGTTGGTCAATGGTTACAAAATTACAGTAAGGTAAGAATAAGTTCTAGTGTTCCATTACGCAGTGCGGTGACTATAGTTAACAGTAATATACTGTATATTTCAAAATTGCAAGGAGAGAGGATTTTGAATGTTCTCACCACAAAGAAATGATAAATGTCTAAGGTGATGGACATGACAATTTCCCTAATTTGATTATTGCTTATTATTACATATGTCCTGAAACATCACACTGTACCCCATAAATACGAGGGTACTTCAAAAAGTTCATGGAAAAATAGAATTAAAAGGTCATACAAATCTTTTCATGAACTTTTTGAAGTACCCTCATATTTAAAATTATTAAGTGTCAATTAAAAATAAACAAATTTAAATAAAAAAGAAAGTCCCTGCTCTTAGCACTCAGGGCTGATAACAGAGCAACAGATGCAGCTTGGAGGTTGGAGAAGCTGCTCTGGAAGTCTGGTGTGCAGCCACTAAAGGAGCCTCTCCCCCTCCCCCCCACAGCCCCTGGGCATGGGACTGGGCCAGGACCCTGCATCCTCGTACATCACTGCGCTGAGCTCTGCAGCAGAGCAAAGCTGTCCTCACAACAACCCTAAGCAGACTTGAAAGCACTTCATAAGAAACGTTCAAGTGCCGAGAAGCATCAGCAGCCGCCAGCCAGGTTCTGCACAGAACCCTGCCTCATCCCCTCACTCCCGTTCCCCTGGGGTCTCTTCTCTATGCATCAGGACCTCACCCCAACCATCTGCCAGAGGGTTGGAGGCCGTTGAGGCTGGTATTTCCATCACCAGCCCAAGTGTCCCTTTCAGTCTTCTGACTTCCGTCTGAGGCGTTGTGACCCAGGTGCTTTGGGTGAACCTTGAGGAGGCACAAAAGCACCACAGAATCCAGCCATATGTATCCTTGGGCCTCAGTGTCCTCATCTGTAAGACAATACCACCACCCACCTGGACTTCCTCACAGCGAGTGTGGGATACTGGGTGAAAAAGCACACCAGAGCATTTGCTGGGGGACTGCACAGGGAAAGGTACGCACCAAACACAAAACAGAGGCTGCAGGGTGGGGGTGGCAGTAAAGGGAATTCACTTTTATCTGTAAGGTTATATTTCTTTTAAAAAAAACACTGGAAACAAACATAACATTGTTACACATGGCTAATTCTGATGGTAGGAACATGGGTATCCACTACAGTATTCTTTGTGGTTTTTTCTGTATTATTCTAACTTCTAAATAAAAGTATCTCCCCCCAACAATGGATGTGACTTAAAGAACTACTGCGATGCTCTCATCTCACAAATAAGTAAAAAAAAAAAAAAAAAAAAAAAAAAAAAAAAAAAAAGCTCAGGAGGAAGAGGGGATTGGTTTAAGCCCACACCAAAGGCCAGGGTAGGACATAGGTGTTCCAAGCCCAAATATGGACAAGTTCTGCCATCTGAGTCACCCCTGGACTCGCAGCAGTGCCCTGACTTCACTGGACTGTCTCTGCGTCTCAGCTCTCTAGGACAAGTCTTAGAAAAAGCCCCTGGAGATGCAGGCCGGCTCTTTCCCTGGGCTGGGAATGGAAAAGCTGGTCACGAATGTGCAATTCAGGAATGGTCCTGCTTCCAGGATCTGGAGAGAGAAGAATCACCTTCCACACGAAGGGAGGGTGGATCAGTCTTCACAGACACAGTGGTTAATCGCACTGAGCCAGGCAGAGAGAGATGGGCAGTGCAGGAGGAGATAAGAAAGGACATGGCGGCAGGCACATCTCATTTCTGCAGAACTCTGATACCCAAGACAATTTTTTGATTAAAATATAAAAGTATTGCTGGCAGGGCCGAGCCCGTGGCGCACTTGGGAGAGTGCGGCGCTGGGGGCGCAGCAGCGCTCCCTCCGCCACGGGTTCAGAT